TTGGACATGTGCAGATTTCCGATAAGCACCCACGAATCTGCATTGTTTTGATCGACAGACATCGCTTCTTTGAACCATACTGATGATTCATAAATCTGTCCTCGATCGCGTGCAAGACATCCAAGACGAAGATAACCTTCATAAAAGAATGCATATCAAAAATTCGATAAAAGAAATGAAACGCAGGTAGCTTACAATCCGTGTAGTTTTCTTGCTCTCTCAAAATGCCCTTGTACAAAACTTCAGCATCTTCAAACAAGCACAGATGTTCCAAACATCTAGCGAGATTGTATCTCATGGTGATGACGTAAGAAGAAAGTTTCGAATCGCACAAATCTCCTTCCAAATCTTCCTGAAGCAGAAGAAAATCATTGCAACACTTCTTCCCTACGTTACAACTCACTTGAAGTTTGGCTTCCGCTGCTTCAAAATATTCTTTTGCTCGCTCATAATTCTCCAAAGTCATGTGCAAGGCTCCAATATTGTTCAGGATCGCCGCTGGAGGATCAATTTGTAAACCATCTTCACTTGTTTTTATCAAATCACAAGCATTTTCGTACAGACTGAGGGATTTCTGAACGACCGGATAAGAATCCGCAAAGTGGATCTAAAAATGTCAAAAAACACACATGCGGATCAACTCCTTCCAAAAGCTGAGCAAGATCTATCAGAACTTCTACATCGTTTGGAGTTGCCTCTAAAACTTTTGTCAGCATATCTCTTGCCTTGTCCTGTCGTTCCTGAACACAAAACATTCTTTTACAAGCAGCAGTGAATCATAACACTTCCGCTTCTGCTTTCTGTGTTGACATGGTCGGTTAGGGAACGACCATACTATTCCTGTGATTCCTGCGAGTCCCGCAACAATATATATTGAGAAAAAACAATGTATATTGGAAATTCGCAAAGCGCTTTGTTGTGCGCCACATAGGAAGTCGAGGACTCACAAGGATTGCAGGAATTACAGGAATCGCAGAAATCACACCCTAAAATAGTATGGCCGGTCCCTTACAAATGAGCCCTGGGTCGCAAAGATTACGGCTAAATTCACAAGCAAAAACAGCGGGATGCGAGAAATAGCAATAAGCAAATGCGAACAATTATAACGAAAAAAGTGATTATAGGACATAGACACAAAAGTAAAATTGAGTACGAACTGACAAAGAAAGACACCCACATGATTCCCTGGGTCCGTGTGAGCGTACAGAGCAGCAAGTACTTTCATAGTGTCAACGTTGTTGGGCATCGACTTCAAAACAGTTTCAAACGCAGCAATTGCCTAAATAGCATGTCTACATCAACAAAGAAAACCAAGGAAAACCTAAGTTTTACGTTGAAACTCAAAAAATTACCTGATTGTACTCTCCTCGCATGATATAGAGTTGTCCAAGACCATACTGCGGCAAAACGAAAGTAGGATGATTCAACGTAGTTGCTTGGTAATAGTACTGAATGCACACGTTAAAGACATAAATTGAGGTCATCACATATGGAAGCCCACCTTAAATGCCTTTTCATAGTCTCTATTAAAATGGAAAAACCGCGCAAGAATGTAACAAGCTTCAGCCTTGATTTCGTCACTTTCCGTCATATTCATAGCATGCCACGCTAATCGTTCAACCTTGTTCATTTCCTAAAACAGTAATGCTTAGGCCCTGGCTATACTCCACTCAAAAGCGCCCAAAAACGCCGGAACGTCCCCTTCACGGAGGCACTATCAAACCTGGCGTAAAACAATCGTAATCTTACTAGATCCTCACTAGAATGCTGAATAGCGTAACACACTTCAGAGATGTATAGTGCAAACTAAT